GCTTCTTTGTGCAAATTTAGTTTTTTTTCAGCTACTTTTAGCTAATTTTAACAGCTTTTTCAGCTGTTTTGAACTACTTTCAGATTCTTTCTGCTAACCACAACATTTCTGTCCTCCTTTGCTCTGCTAATTTTAGCTTGTTGCTCCATTCAGCTTATTTATACACGTTTCAGTTATTTAGCTGTTTTTATGCACATTTTAACCTTTTTTTTTTTTTGGCTAATTCCACTTTTTTTGCACTCATTTAAACTCTTTTCTGATGTCAGTCCTTCGAAGGCTGGACAAGCTTTCTTCCTTTTTGCCTCTGGTTTTCCTTTACACAGGGGGAAATTAATTCAAAATTAGTTTCAGTAGATCTTCAGTCAGGCTTCGGAACTTTTTTTTTTTTTTTTTGTGCCTGAAAATCTAAATAAATATTATTTTATCCCTCTCCCTGAATAAATCAGCTTGTCACAATTTCAGTACTTATTCCAAAATGGACAAATGACCTATTTGTTGTTTCCTTCACTCGTGCATGAAATGTGTGCAATATTGACCATCAACACTAAAGTATTCCCCAGAAAACACATCTGGCTCTGGACTTTCATCTGAAGCATGGCCTCGCCTGCATCTGGTTCCTGTGAAGCAGAATAAAAAAGAAGAGGACAGTCAAAAATCAACACGTGGAACATCCATGAAGTTTCATTCCATTAAGAGAGAAAAACTCATCCTGCATGTTAGAGTGGTTTCACTCCTGCTTCGGCTGCTTTGCAAACAAACACCTTAATTGTACATTATGAGACATTTCATCCTCCATTAAGAGTCACCAGCTCATTGGGCTGCGGTAGCTCGGTGGTTCAGTGCCAACATTTTATAATCCTGAGGTTGCAGGTTTGAGCTCAGCTTGTGGCAGGAAGAGCATCCAGCATATAACTATTGTCTTTTTTTTTTTTCATGCAAGTTTGCCCATTTAGCAGAAGATCTGAAGGAAAAACAACAACCACCTCATGTATAATGTTGGACAACAATTTGAGATTGCAGTATTATGATAAAAAAAAAAACATCTATTGAAACCATAATAACTTCACTAAATACAGATGGTTGAGCTTTAGTTCTTTGGTTTGGAAACATGCTGAAAGGAATTTCCCCGTTTCAAGTAAATCAACAACATATCCTGCACTGCCCTCATCTGTTCCTTATTGGTAGAACAACTGCACACAAATCACATCTGGCCATGTTTCATTTAGTCTTTTCCAATTTACATTACGTTTTCATAATCTGACAAACAATTTTAGGTAAATGCATTTATTCTGTTTAAGTGCACATGCAGACTGTGGGAAATAGTTGGTTGTAAAAAATTTTTTCAATACAATTAAGGCTGAATCGTCCATCAGATTTTATTGACATGAAATTCTTTATTTGAGTTATTACCTGTAGAACATTTGAGTTGTTTTCCTTTTCTCCTTCCACATTTTAACAAGGTTTTGTCAAAAGTGTTGTCTAATCGGCATTAATCTTCTTTTCACATCATAGGCATGTTTCTTATTTGTAAAACAAATGTTTTATTAATATTAAATCAAGCTTGCAGGCAAATAAAATATAGGTATATTTGTGCAGATAAATTAGTAGTATAGCATTACTGAAAAAAACAATCAGGTCATGTGTAAGAATGTGGAAATCTCATAATGGTTTGTATAAATACTGTTGTGGTATCTATTCCTTAATGTGCATTCCAATCAATACAAGTATAAAAGCAATTGTTGGACACAGTGATTTAACAAATGAGGCCTCCATTTGCTTGCATGCTCTAAAAGATGGGATGGATGATAACTAGCAATAAAACAGCTCTATATAAGCCCCTTTAAAAGCCACTGCTATAACGAGTCAATAGAGTACAACTAGGACTTAGAAACAGGATAGGAAATTTTTCCTTATCACATTTTTCCTTCAGTAACTTAACAAAATATAACCATATATAGATTTATTTTCTTAACCAATAAAATTCATGTACAGTTGTGATAATTACAAACTGAAATCCATCTCTTTTTTTTTTTTTGGACACAATCTGAGACACATTTATTTATTCATCATTAAGACGTTTGTTTATGTTATATTTTAGCATATCGAGTGTGACTGGTGTCTCTTATTTATTTGAAATGTTCATTAGGGCATTTATCTTCATTGTAAATGAATGCACATGTAGCTTCCTGTCAAAATGATGTTGTGAAAAAAGGCACACATTAAATACATTGACAAAACTGTTACACCATTGCTGCACGTGTGATTTTCCTGCAGACAAAAATGTGACCCATGCTTGGGTCAAGGGACTTTTTTTGTTTTTGTTATATTGTTTATTCAAACGCTTAAGTTTAGTTTTCCTCCTGTCTTCACCTACAAAACCAAATTTTATCATTGGTAACGTTCTACTTCTAAATATATTGAAATTACTTTGGCGGCATTTCCTCATACTAGAACTGAAGATAAAGATCTTCGGCTTTCAGGAGAAGCGCGCGAAGGTGGACGAACTTCCGTGTCAGCGTTGCTATGGATACCGGCGGATGGCAGTTGAAGCCCCGCCCCACAAATTCGCCCCGTCACTACTGCTGCTGCTGTGAGTGAAATTCCTGCACTCGCAGACCTGCGACACCACCTGCAAACATCAGCAAACTTCTCAAGAAGCCGAGACGAGTGTCACAGAGCAAGTCAATGAACACCCCCAGCCTAAATTCAACTTTTTAGTCACTGGTGAGTACTTTACTTGTACTTCTACCGAGCACTTTTAAGTTAATTAAGCTAGCGATGTTCACTTTTGTTGTAGCTTTAGCCTCAAACTACAACTTCGCTACCTGGAAGTTACTGGAAGGAAGTAACACCTAAAGTTAATTTAAAATGACAGTTAAAGTTTATTTACACAATACGGCAAAAGAAGGGTGGCTTGTTGCAACAGGAAGTTTCCACATCTGGTGGAGGAAGCGATTGTTTACTCTGTTACACGTGTTTTGTGAACCCTATTTATAATATATATAGATAATGTTTTGTTGTTTTGTTTGTTAATTGCCTGTTTTGTACAAGACAATTAGCAAGTACCTGGCTGGTGTAACTTCTCTTCATTCTGTACATTCTTCAGTGACTGATCTGATCACATGGCAGGTGGAGTAGATCTTAATAAGTGGGTCTTATTTCTGAAATAGATTAAAATGTGCCTGTCTCATATTTGCAGGGCCATGCTGCACTTTCAAAAGCCTTTATTATGTGGCAGAACAGAAATGTTTAAGCGAACTAAAAGTTATAGGTAGGTCCAAAATTGAGACGACAGCTCTGTTTTGCTCAGGAGTTTTGTTTAAATAAATGCAGGAAGAGGCCTAAGAAAAACAATGAGTCTTATAAGTGATCATAGACTATTAAGTTTTTCCAGCATCTTTAAGGTTTTGCCAGATAAGATCAACCAAACTTTGGCAAAAGCTCCATCTTTTCAGAGCTTCCTGTCATTGCAGTTATTTAAATTTAGCCTTTTGCTGATTGCTGTAGCTTCTGTAAAATAAACAAATATATATATATATAATGGATGTGGAAAAATAAAGCGCACATGCTTTCTTTTGCAAAAGCTTGTTGTGGTCAATGCTAGAATGAAGTTAGCTTTTTCTGTGGTTCTGCCCACATTGTTTCTAACTTCTATTTGTAGCTCTAACAGCGGCTACATGTCAAAAGCCATGCAACAGATAAGCTATGCAAAGCAGTTTGCTACAGCACTTAAATGTTTGGTGTCAGCAAAATTGCAATTTATTTGAACTTGTTAGACTAAGAATTCCAGTTTGCACTTTGCATTCAGGCACATCTTTAGATTTTAATGTATTTACACGGATCAAAATAGGTTTTCTTTTGCATGTAAGTGCCAGGGTGAGATGAGTGAAAAGCCATCCGTGTGCTTTCTTGTCAAGGTTTACTGCCACATCTTTCAGTGCAGATTTAGCATATTTAACAACGAGCTCATTAATGTCTCTGCAGTATCTGACTGATGGGGTTTGATGGAACTGAGATTTCAAAATTTGCTGATTGTGAGAAATAAACAAAGTCCAATTTTTATTTTATTTTATGTAGTTACTCTAGCAATACTTCAGTTTTAAATACAAACTACTGAGGTACACCAAAAGCACAATTCTTTCTAAATAGCAGTTCAATTCCTTCCCTTTCTTATGCCATCCGTCATGTTCAAGCCTTGTCTTGGTCACTTTTTCTTGTTGACTTCCCTTATTTAACTTGTCATGTTTGTAACATCTTTAGACTGAAACTTTAGGGAATGTCATATTCAAAACTGGAAATATTTTAGAAAGAAAGCATCACTTTTAAAAATGGAACGTGCCTTTAGAAATAAATAGATATAGATAGCGTTATTATTAAAGAAAATGGAGGAAAAAAAAGGTTTAAGAAATCATTTTGGTAGATGTCAGTTTAAATAACATGTGTTTCAAATGCTCTGGTGGGGAATGTTACCATATCTACAACTGCATGGGTCACCACACACCTCATGATGCTCACTAATTGATCAAGCAAACTTTTGTATTGCACAAGTTTGAGGCATTCTTCCAAACCACTGCATACATTTGCAAAGACGCCAAAAATGTGCATCACATCAGTCAATAAACCACAACTTTTTTTCAGTTTTACTTGTCAGATGACATTAGTCTCAGTGGGGGACAATGCCCCTAAATAGAATAAAGAGCAATGGTTGTTTCAGGTTTTCAAAGAGAACAAGCTTCTTATCTTTTCTTTCTTTTTTGTGTTTTCTTTACAGTAACTTTTTCTAATGCAATAAATAGAACAATATTGTCTTGTTTGTCCTGTATTTATTGGACAAGCAGCTGTAACGGAGCACTCTTCTTCTTTGTCTCATAGGTTTCATCTACTGGTTAAAGAGGTGGTTGCTAAGAGATGACAGTCGGTGATACTGGTGAAAGCATCAACTGCACAGCAGGCTGAAGCGCCACTTCTCTAGGCTCTCTTTCCTTCTGCTTGTAGCTTGCTCACGTGAAGGACATAGGCAAACTCTCCTTTTTATTAATACGCTCACCGGCACCATGGCAGCTTTTACTGCTGCTACTGCTGCCAACATCAATAACACAGACAATACCGTGCCTAAAGCAGCATGGCAAAAGCAAGAGAACAACATCAAAAAGAGTGCACATGAGAGTGACCAGAGAAGGAGCAGGAACCAGAATGTGGGGCAGAACACAATCCTGGAGAAAACCTACGAGTTCTTCCAGATGTGTGACCTTGAAAACAAGGGTTTCGTCACTCGGCGGGACATGCAGGTGAGGCTGACGTTGCTGCTACAGTTGCTGTAAATTCTATAACTTCTAAATAAGTGTTTCTTCTGCTTCATTGCATTAATTCAGATAATTTCACTTTTATATGTATAGCATTTTACAAACACAAGCTGAACTCAAAATGCTTCAGACAGCAGACACAAAATATAATTAAGAGCCAAGATAAAAACAAAATCCTTAAAAGGCACACTACTGCAAACAGAACAGAAATGCATAATTGCTTCCAACTTGGATAACTTCTAATCACTTTATTGTTTACTCTTTAGTGGAGGTTTTATTAATGCTTGAGGCATCACATATTGTTTTGTCTTTGTTGAGATCACTCCTCATTCATCTAGAACACAATGCAGGGATGCTCTGTACACTCATTAATGATGCTGAACAGAACATGGGTATAACATGTGCACCTTACCAAAACGACATGAAAGAGCCACAGAGGGCCATGTAGGAGCTTAGTCACAAACCCATCCACATGCATTATTGTGCAGATTCACTCGCCCGTTGGATATTCATGTAATGCTTTGATGAGGCACTACAAGGCTCTCGCTTCAAGGAGGATAAACCCATAGAGAATAAGCTTTGATCTGTTGTACATAATGATGATCTCAAAATCAGACCCACAGAATCTGGCTACTGTTTGTACCACAAGTGCTCAAACTTTAATTAAAAACAGCACTTAACAATAAATGCTTGGCATGTACGACTAAAAACTAGAATCAAGGGCAAAATTTTAAAATCAGCTTTGTGACATTGTGACAGTGTCAGTCATTTTTGAAGCATTTTCTCAGTTTTCCAGGACCTCTAACAGGATAGCTTTACAAGTTGTATGTTGACATAAAGGTTGTGTTTTAAACCGATAACACTTTACAAGAACAGCTGATAGTCTTCAGCAGATGCTATCCTTTTTGTGTCCCAGCCCTGGATTGTAAGGGTGGCTTCAGTCAACATTTCCAGCAGTGTAAACACTGTATGGAAACCGGACCGGTTCCGAAGGTGTGTCTGTGTGAACTGTTCCTTGGATGAGACTAGCAGTTTGTGACATGGTCAGGTTTTTTGGGATGCTTCATTTTGTCACTTTATTTTGAATAAATCTTTTTATCAAGCAGCTATCGTTATGCCGTCCCAAAGTTCAGGAATTGGTGTAAGTTTTATAAACTTGCTACAAAAAAAAAAAAATGTAATATGTTGAAACTTTTAAAAGCTCCAGTGCAAAATTATTATTAATTTCTTCTCATCAGTTATGTTTATGAAAATATGATGTTTAACAGTAATTTGAAGCAATGCATTAAAAAGTATATTGAAATAGTCGGGCAGCACGGTGTCGCAGTTTGTAGAGCTGTTGCCTCTCAGCGTTAAGGTCGCTGGTTCAGGGTGCATTCACATTAGCCCTGTTTAGTCCACTTTAATCGAACTCTAGCTTGTTTTCCTAGAAAGTCTGGCTCGTTTAGGGAGGTGTGAACGCTCCATTGAACTCTGTCACGGAACAAAAAGGCGAACTCTGGCCCGGGCTAAAACCTAGGTCTCGGTCCGTTAGAAGAGAATTCCAGCGCGGTTCGAGTACAGTGTGAATGCAAACAGACCGGACCCCGCGCCGCAGTGTAAACAAACACGCATTTCTCTGACCTTATATGGAGCCGTCAGCTGCCTTGTGTGGAAAACAATATTCTCCATGGTCTTCTGTCTCATCTTCTGCTCATGCTAAGTCCATTTTTGAAAAATGACAAAATATAACTCCTAAAACTGCTAAAACTTGATGCCACTTCGTTTTATTTTATTTACAGAAGAAGAAGAAGATGTGTCTTCAGAGGTTTTTGTGTTGTTTCTTTCAGTAGTTCTTGGTGCAGCGCCCCCACAGGCGAGCGGGGGAATAGGTTGGTTCAACAGGTTGACTCGACTGCACAGTGCAGTGTGAATGCAAACGCACCAGCTCAAATGTAAACAAAATGTCATGAATATTGGTCCCGAACCGAGTCTACCGGACTATCTAGTGTGAAAACGACCTCAGATCCCAGCCTGGGATCTTTCTGGGTGGAGTTTGCATGTTCTCTCCATGCATGTGTGGGTTTGCTCAGAGTACTCTGGTTTCCTCCCACAGACCAAAAACATGCATGTTAGGCTGATTGGTAACTCTAAATTGTCCCTAGGTGTGAGTGAGAGAGTGAATGGTTGTTTGTCTCGATGTGGCCCTGTGATGGATTTGCGACCCGTCTGGGGTGTACCTCGCCTCTCGCACAGTGATAGCTGGACATGTTCACCAGTGATCCCTGTGACCCAAAAAGAAAGAAGTGGATAAAGATAATGGATGAATGGATGGTTTGAAAGAGTCATACGACTGGTTGTGTGTGGCTACTCTTATTATTACACTGTTAAGTTTGGGGTTGCTATTTTTTATTTATTTATTTTTTTTGCAGTTTTTCCAGAGGAATCTGGGTTTTGCAAAATTTCAGATGCTCAACAATCTATTTCCAGCTTCATAATAATGCATGCATTTTAATGAAATGCAAACTTAACACCGTTTGTTAAACATGTTCTAGTTAAAGTAAGACATGCGTTTAACTTACTGCTATTGGCTTAAAAATATATGGCAGAAGCAGTAGTTGTCCTCAAGCAAATTATTGCCAGTTCACAAGAACACATCTCACACAGCAGTTGTTATAGCTACCGTATTGTTAGTGGCCTTGGACGTTTGTTTTAAAGCACTTCTATCTGTGTCCTATTTAACAGAGACTGAATGGTGAGCTTCCTCTCAGTGCAGATGAGTTGGAGAAAGTGTTTGATACCCTTGACTCTGACAGCAATGGATACCTCACTCTCGATGAGTTCTCCTCAGGCTTTAGTAGGTTTCATAGCCCACTTCAGATTTAAACATTCCTTCTACAATCATCTGTATTTGTTCTGTGGACATAAGCTCCTAATTTTTGTAGGTGCATTTCTGTTTGGCCGGAGGATTTCTGTAGAAGAAGGCATGGGGGAGAAAACCCCCAGTAAACCCCTGCCAGAAGTCCTTTACCAGTCCCAGTGGGAGGAGAACGGGCCAAAGGAGGACAAGGATGAGGAAGAAAAGCACTTCTGCATGCTCATGGAGAGCCTTGGAGCCAACAGCGTTTTTGAAAAGTGAGTGCTGTATTATTTGTTTGTGTGTGTGCTTGTGGTACTAGCTTGTGTTGTAATGTCTATTCCATATCTTTAAGGTTCAAGGTGACTTTATTGTCATTTGCATCACATGTGGTACATGAGGTGGAATGGAATTGTGTACTCAAGGTCCCAGTTACACCCAAAAATAGCAAAAATATAAAGTATAAAATAAAAAAGAAACTGTATACAAGATCTAAGTTATACACTATAAACAATAATAATGTAGTACAATACAGTGTATTAAACAGCAGCCTGAACATGAGTCTGTTGTGAGCAGATGGGTATGAATACAGCAGCTTAAAGGCAAGAAATCAGCAGCATGGATAATCAGCAGCACTGATAAAGTGACAATCCCAGTTCAAGTGGCGTTACAGTGATTTTTCTGGATTTATGAGTCTTAACAGCTTCATGGTAGAAGCTGTTCCTCAGTCCAGTGGTTTTACACTTCTCGCACCTTGTCAGTGTTTTCTTTAAGGCTGCAATACATTTTCCAATTATAAGCCTGCAATCAGATTTTCAAGTAATTAAAAGCTGCTCAGATTCCTTTAAACCCAAAGCTCTTTTTTTTTTGGCTACTTTTTCTGTTTCTTTACATTTAAAATGGTTGTTTGCTTAAAATTTTCCAACAGCATCGTATTTCAAACATCAAATATACAGATGATTATAGTAATTTGAGTTTTAGATTAAAATAGCCAATCTGAGTTTTTGTTAAATATTAACTGAATTTGTCTCAATAATTGATCTTGATGGACTTTAGGTAGGATCTTCTGTATTTGATAAATAAATAAACCTGGATTTCCTATGAAATGCATGACTAGATTCACCTTTAACAAGCAAGTCAATGAAGAAAAAAAAGTGGATTCCTTATATAAACATTGTATCGACTTCCTCCACCCAGTAAGACTTGAAGAGGGAGGATGACAGTTTAGATCTCGTCAGTTTGTGCAGCTCAGATACTTAGTTTGTCTAGACTTTACAGCAGTATTATTGATTTTTGTGGCATTAATTCAGCTTAAATGCATTATAATATGAATAATTGTATAAATATAACACTACAAATATAATATTTCATAATATTAAAATAATAAAAAAATATTATTTTTAACCAGAACTTGTGTTTGGGGGTGTTGTTTTTAGTCTTCTATTGCACATACGTTCTTTTTTTTTTTTTTTTTTTATTAAAAAGGCATTAATCATTCAAAAACTATTTAATGCTTTTAGTTTAAGTTTCAGATTATGATTGATTTTATACGGACTTTCTTTCAGTCCGTATCAAACTTTAAGAACTTTCAGGGATGATGTCAAAATTGACACTCACAAACTGTTTTTTAATTTTTATTGTGAAACTTTTTATTTTCAATAAAGTATTAACTCTTCCAAATATGTTTACATTTTAGTACTTTGAGTTTGAACAAAAAATGTTCATGTTTTGTTTTATTTTATTTTATTTTATTTTAAATAACATTCTTTTTTTTTTTTTTTTTAGTTTTGTTGTTAGTGTTGTTTTAATTTAGTTTTGTTCATCCAGATCTGTTTTGTGACAGTTTCGTCACACAAGTATTAAAAATGACTGGTCTTGTGTTTTCTTTACATGTAATTAAGAACTAATTACACTCATGTTTGTATGTGTGTGCACATTGCATAGATCAGTGTGTGTAAATGTCACTATCACCAGCTCATGTTTCTTTTTGTTAATAATTGCTAAACTTGTGAAATATCACAGGAAAGTGCTGGTCAGTTAACTTAAAAAAAAATCCTTTTGTTTAAAATAAATTCCTACTACAATATTAACAGTCCTGCTGAAGTGCACAGTCTGTGGGCCCAGCTCCGCCGAGATGAACCACATCTTCTGTCGACTTTTGAACACTTTCTGGCCAGAGTGACAACCCAAATCACGGAGGCCAACCAGGAGAAGAGGGAGATGGAAAGTGCCATCAGAAGGTCTGTGAGCATATTTATGTTACGTTTGCTTCATGTGGAAAGTTGAAACTTTATTACGGGATTACTGCATTGGTGTGTCTTTAAAGTGATTCTCCAGCTGTATACATTTTATAAATATGTAATTTATAAAATTATTTAATTATAGGATTTATATTTTTGTGTAGCTGTTTTTTTTTATTTGTCAATAATATTATCGCTCTGGTGGCACATTACCATATCTGATTGTTGCATACAGGAAAGCTGTAACACATGATGATGAAATCCAGCGTCTATATGAAGAAATGGAGCAACAAATAAAAAACGAAAAAGACCGGATTGTACTGCAGGTATAAATCAGCCAAAGATGTTTTTTTTTTTTTAGAACAACCTTCTTCACCACATCAAACTTTTATTTTACCTTTCCATCTAACTTTGCAAATTGTGCTCAAGGACTATGAGCGATTTCTGTCTCAGAGTAAAGACCTGGAGCTGCAGCTGTCCAGTAAGGAGAAGGAGGTAGAGCAACTTTTCCAAAAACAGAGACGGGTGAGTGGAAAGAAGTGGACTCATTTTTTCTCAGGGTGCATTTTTATTTTCAAGTAATAAGACCAAGACAGAATATGCACAGTCTCATCAGGGATCTCTTAAACAAACTGCTATCTGAGCAACAAAAACAGGACACATTAAACGGGAAGTCTGATCATCTGCAAAGATGTGATAAAAGTGATTCAGCACTGTGCAACCATCAAACCAGCCATTAAGTTACCATTTAACACAGTGACAGATCTGATCCTAGTACTCTTCTAATGCATCTTTTCACATATACTCTCCACTCTAAAAGTATTGGAAGTTATTTGAAATTAACTTTAAAAGATCATGATGATGATAATAATTATTTATTCAAATAATAATAATAATAAGAGACTTAACAGCAACATTTCAGCTTTTATTTCCACAAGTTTACATCTGGATTAAATACACAACTTGGAATACAGTAGTTCCTTGTTTATCACGGGGGTTCCGTTCCCAGCCCCCACCGCAATAAGTGAAAACCGTGAAGTAGGAATAGTAGTAGTAGTAAGTAGTAGTTTATGTTAGTATTTATATATATATACTGTTTTCTGACGTATAAGACACAGTTTTTTGCATAGATGTGTCAGTCCTGCGACTTGTACGCCAATGCGACTTATGTACATTTTTTTCTTCATATTCGTAACGCAATTTTTGACTGACGCTTTTAAATTTCTAAGAACTTCAACAGCAAGGTTTCCCGTGCGCACTCCCTTCACTCCGCTGGTGCAGACGGAGGAATGCTGGAGAGCTAGCGGCTCCAGCTGCGATAGATGGATAGCGCTGCGCTGCGCTGCCCAGGCAAAATGAAGCTGTTTTGATCAATAAATAAACACATAATAAACATGACGTGTCAGCGGTGACGCATAATAAATGCGACTTATATATGTTTTTTTTCTCTTTGTGCTTTTTTTTTACTTATGCGACTTATACTCTGGAAAAGACGGTGTATATATGAAAGCATTTTAAACCCTTCCCACACTCTTGCAATATTCTAAACAATGTTTCTACATTCTAAACGCTCTAAAAGAGCACAGAATGTCATGACCTCCGCTCTCTGCCACCTGCCAGCACGCTCGGCCACGCCCACTTCTCCGCTGCAATCGCTGGCATGTGGCAGAGAGCGGAGGTCATGACAGGATCAGGAGAGAGGCTCTCCCTGCACCTGTGGGCTGCACACAGGTGCAGCATGTGCTAAATCATTTAAAATAATTTATTATAAATAAACAATCCATGCCAACTGTGTGGCTCATCCATCAATCAGCCAGTTGTGTGTCATATCCAATCTTACTTTGAAAACTGAGAAAGAGCGAGTCCGTGAAAGTCGAACCGCCAAGTAGCAAGGGAGTACTGTGTAGCATTAATTGTAATGGAACAACACCAATTCTTTTTAGGTGAGCAGAAGTATTGGAACAAACAGAATCAAAGTAGATTAAAGTGAATAATATTTAATACGTAATTGCAAATCTTTTGCTTCAAATAGCTGGATCAAACCTGTGACCCACTGACGTCACCAAACTTTTCTTTCTATTTTTGTGATGCTATTCTTTCACAGCAGCCTCTTTAACTTGCTGTTTGTTTTAGGGGCGTGAGTCCCTTCAGTCTCCTCATTAGCAGGTAGAACAGCTCTGTGGGGTTGAAGTCTAGAGCTCAACTTGGCAACTCTAGAACTTACCACTAACTGCCCCTGATGGACTGGTTTCTTGTTTTGGTAGTGCGTTTTGAATCATTATCTTGCTGCATGATAATCTTCCTATCAGTTTAGTTGAATCTTCCTTTAAACTTGCAGACAAAATGTTTCTGCAGACTTTAGAAAGTTCTATAGCCTTTTCCATTGCGTTTCTAAAGCAAATTATTTGTTTCATCATTCCATAAAACAGCTTTTCTCTGTACTTTGACAAATTCCAGACTGGTCTTCCTACTCTTCTTGTTAATAAATGGTTTGCATCTTCTGGTGTAGCCTCTGTACATTTGTTGTTGACGTCTTCTTTAAATGTTTTAATACCTTCACCCCTGCCCTCTGGTGGTTGTTTCTGATGTCACTAACGGTTGCTTAGTGTTCTATTTTCAAAGCTCTCCCAATGTTTCTTTATTCAGCTGCTGATGTTTTCCTTCCCGTTCAATTTCTGTTATTTAGTAAACCAGAGATTTTTTTTCTTCCCTTCTTGTTATTCCAAATGGTTGGACTGGTTGTGACCCATGTTTTTTTTTTTTTTTATCCTTAGACAGCTTTGTGGTGCTTCGTTTATACTAGTTACATCTTTATAGGCTCTAAATGCAGTTTACACTGACAAAATCCTAATCCAAAACTGTTAGTAGATTTTTAGTTCTATTTACGGTTTGCATAATTAATGAAACATCTGGGAAATTAAAAACACCGGTCAGTCACATGTTCCAATACTTGAGCTCAGTGGTTCCCAACCCTGGTCCCTGAGGAACACCATCCTGCATGTTTGAATTGTTCCTCTGGTACAACACACCTGATACAGGGATTTAATTACTTCCTCGGGTTCTGTAGAAGCCTGTTAATAACTCGTCCATTCACACCAGGTGTGTCAAAGCAGGAAACAACTAAAACATGTAGGATGGTGTTCCTCAAGGGCTACGGTTGGGAACCACTGCTTTAGCTCATCTAAACATTTGGTGTTTCATTACAAATAATACTATTTTATAAGTTGTATCCCATCCAGATGTTAACAACTGGAAAAATTAGCATCAAAATGTTGGACTCTTGTCCTGTCTTCATCTTTTGATGCCAAACCCAAATGTTTTCAATCAAGAACAACCGTAATGGTCACACTGTTATAATACTTTTAGAAGGGATTATAAGTTTGTTTGTTTTTTTTGTTTGTTTTTATGAAATTGTATTTATTTATTTTACTGTCTGTCTATTTCCAGTTGGAGTGTCAGTGCCAGGAACTTCATAGTGAGCAGCATGTGACCCAAGTGGAGAACGTGAGGCTGAAACAGACGAATGATGAGTTGGCTCGAGAGCTGGAGCACGTCAGCCAAGAACTGACACTGACTCAGGAGCAGCTGAGTCTGCTGCAGGAACAGTCCACACAACTTCACGAAGAGAAAGAGATGTGAGTCATCGACAATCAAATGTTGTTAGAATCAAAGCTTTCCCATAACTTCAGGTTTTGTTTTTTTTCTGATCAAAATAAAATTACCACAATGACAAAAAACGTAAATTAGTAGCTGAGTTTCCATTCAATTAAAAACCAAATTGACACTGAACTTTTGCAATTATGCTCAATAGTAAATGTGTTTTTAGGTTCAGTTTCAGTACTTGATTTACAATGATTGAACTTGTTTGCAGCCTGTTGTTGGCAGATAATAGTGTAGCCTGTGTTTATTTTAATTCCACTTACAGCTGGAAGTGGCTTACCAAAATAAAATAAGTATGGGACTAATGTTGACCTTCTGAGAACATGTTCTCATTTTGTTGAGCAAAAAATATCATGTTTTGGGGAAAAAAGTAGGATTTTTATCAGTTTTTCCTCATGTGCAATTTTAAAGCATGCAAGTATCAGAATGGAAACATATTGTTATAAATGCTTAAGGCAAAAGTAGATTTGACTTTAGTTGTTCATTCCTGTTATCACTTTGTCATTTTATACACATTTTGGTGTTTATGTCCTGATTGAACCATACTATATAATTTCTAGGATAATAATATGTTTAAAAAGTGATTTCTGTAATCTACTAGACATCAATTTTCAATTGAACAATTTTCAGTCAGGTCATCTGGACAGTTTATTTTTTTGTTCTGAAACCTTTCACCTTCCATCCAGAAGGCTTCATCAGTCAAGGAAACACACAACACAAAACTGATTCTTCCCCCAACAGCTTACTCCAAAGTGGAACAAACCAGTTATGTTGGTGCTAAGATGGTCTCTTTGGCACGCTTCCTCCTCCGGTGCAGGCCCTCTCCCTTGTCGACAGTCTACTAATTAATCTACTAGACACTTTTTCATTCTTTTTATAAAGATTTCCTTCATTTTTATTTACCCTTAAAATGTTATTTAGTTTTAATTGCTGTGTTACTTGAAAAATTTCAGACGAGAAGGTTGTATATTATAAGAATAATCACGACATGTACTATAAACTACATATTGTGGACGCAGGGAGATTTACAGACTTACGGAGGGACTGCAGAGGGAGCGAGCAAGCCTTCTGAAACAGTTGGACCTGTTGAGGTATGAATCGATTAAAAAAAAAAAAGTTACAGCAGCACTCATAATTAATAATTCATAGAAATACATATGTATAAGTCAATACATGGAATTACAATACTGGAAATTTGATGTTGCATCGTCTCTGTTACACTTTAAATCAAAACTTTTTGTTGGAGAGAAAAACGTTGAGCAAAGTGAACCCCAAGGTTGTTGCTCCATTATTGCTTATGTTTGTTATAAAACCTTGAATGTGTACAAGTCAGTACAGTAATGGTGTGGAAAATGGATTTTCATCTCATGTGGTGATTCATCTCATAACAGTGCAGTGATCCAGCACAAAGCAGAGGGATCAATTTCTATGCTTCATGTCATTTTGATCATATTACACGCTTTCTTACCCTTTGGCTCTTGTGCTTCAGTACATTTATTTTAAAATGTCTTGTCCTAAATTTGATTGATGAATCCAACAAAAGTGAAAGGAACTGTGTGACGAAACCTTTGCTAAACATAATGTCCAAATTACAGTGGCTGTATTTTGACATTTTATCACCAGTCAAACTTTAAACTTGTTTGATCGCTGATGATTTGAAATTGGGGAAAAGCGCAGTAAGAAAGTTTATTTAAGCACAACCTGTAAAAGTTGCTTTTTCTTGCTTTGGATTTTGGTTCCATAAAATGCCCCCCTCTGCTTTTAAGGACTGGTATGATCCTATAAATGCTTTTAAAGGAGACACAAGAATAAAATGGTTATTCTGAAACCCAAATTCAAGAAACACGCAAATTTATAACTGTTATGAAGTGAATTGATGGAAATCTCTTCCATCCCCACCTACCTTGATTTATTTTTAGATGTAGTTTGTCATTTAATAATTTAGGCTTTCATATTAATTCTTTCTTTCATTTCTTGCGTTACTCACACACTTTTAAACATTCTTATTGAAGGAGACAAAGGAGCAAACTGAATGAAGCAAACAAGGAGATACTTTAATGTGCTAAAGGCTGTTTCATTCATTTACTGACTGCAAAGAACTATGGGGTTTCTTTATTCATTGAAGTATAAGTACTAAGTCTTAAATGAGCTTTATACCTGGTACAACTTGTTCTTTATGAATGCAATTTTATTTAAAAAACACACACACACAAGTGGTATTTTTATTGTTGGAAACCACGTTTGATTATTACCATAGGTGTTGTATCAAACAAAAAATGCACCAATGCAAAAACTCTGTTCTGTAAAGGTTTTAAACTATTTTCTGTGTCATCTGTATTTCTTTCATTTATTTTTTCCAGAGAAGTGAACAAACACTTGCGAGATGAACGAGACATGAGCTATCAGGTGTGTCATGTTGCAAAAGGCTTTCACAGAAAGATGCAAAATTTTCACATTGTTTTATAATTTTACAAATATCTTGAACTTGAAAAAAATGTATTCTGTAATCTTAAATAAAATTTAAAAAATAACAAAATGAACTTGGCTTTTTTTTTCTTTGTAGAAACCAAATAATAATAAGAAAACAGCAGGTTTGAAGCAGAGGATTTCTATTGATGTTATGAAGCAGACAAATCCAGATGTCTTCAAAAGGTAAACTGCAAAGAGCTAATGCAAAGGTCACCGTTTCAGAATGTGTCGTATAGAGTTCAGCAGGTCACATGACATTATTATCCTGCAGTGTTGTCGCTCTGTGATTTAACTTTGTATTTGCAGTGAGGATGAAGAGGAGCTGACCTCAATCTCCAAGAGGCAGACCTTCATTAATGGGACATACCAGTCATCTTTTAGAGCAGAGGCAAGCGGACACCTCCGAAGGATCATCTCAATTGAGGAAGACCATCTCCCTCATTTACTGAATGGCTCTCAGGCTCAGAATCTGCTTCAAAAGTGTACAGAAGGAGAAGAACACTCGGACATTGAAGAGAACGCAGATTTTGTAACAAGTGATATTTGCCATCGGACGTCACCGGCCCGTCAGCAACAGTCAGTGGAAAATGTGGAGGAAAGTCCAATTCCAACATCTCCAAGAGGTCAACCTGTTGGCAAGGAAACCTGCATAAATGTAAGCAAGTGAAGACTTTAGACCATGTGTATGGCAGACCTGACAACCTGCTGTTGTATTTCTGTGATCAATGTCTTAGGACAGAGGTCTGCAACCTGCGGCTCTGGAGCCACATTCATTCAACCTTTATTTATACAGGTTAGTCTCACTGAGTCACGAGGACTCATTTACAAGAGAGACTTGTTTTAAAGAAAAACCATAAATGAGGTACACACAACAGTAAACATTCATATGAACGCATATAGAATGAAAAGGATATAACATTCCTTAGAAAGGTCGTGGTCGAGAGCTTCAAATGTCTTTGCAAGGTGTTCCAGGAAACAGGAGTGGAGTAAGAGAAGGCCCTTTTGCCAAATTCAGTCCGCACCGATGGGACGCTGCAGGTAATGATGTCTTGATAGCGCACGCTGTAGCTGCACTCACGCAGTGACATGTAGGAGGAGATGTATGAAGGCAGCAGACCAAGAAGATATTTAAAGCCCAACAATATTTAGTCAGGTCATCTGGACAGTTTTTTTTTTTTTTTTTTGTGCTGTTCCACTTTGGAGTAAGCTGTTGGGGGAAGAATCAGTTTTGTGTTGTGTGTTTCCTTGACTGATGAAGCCTTCTGGATGGAAGGCGAAACGTTTCAGCACAAAAAAAAAGAAACTAACCAAATGACCTGACTGAAAATTGTTGGATTGTATACCTGGATTATTGAGCATGGACTTTGTTGGTTAAGATATTTAAAGATTAAAATGGAACAGTGTGAGAGTCTGTGTGAAGTTAATGATGACCAGTTGACCACATGTGGCTCTTTGGTCCCTTTCTTCAGCAGCTCTTTCAAGCTTTGACCAAAACTGACATAAAACTGAATTTTATTGGTTATATAAACAAACAAACAAAAAAGGCTTAGTTCAGTTTTCCTGTCAGTTTTTTTTTTTCAAATATGTGAACACTGGAGTGAGTACAAGGAGTAAAAGATAATTTAACTTGATGCTTTATTTCGTTATATGAAGAACTGTCTGCATAGTTTATAGATTAAAAAAAATAAAATAAAATTAAAGTAAACTGAGTTGTTCCCCCCAACCTTTACAAGAATCTGGTCTTTTTTCTTTAATAAATGTTAAAAATCATTAGATATATTTTGCTTTATAATGTCACCCTTACTAACCACAAAAGCCCCATCAGCAATCCTAAAGTGGCCCACGGGCCACCAGTTGATAACCATAATTGTAGCAGGTTGTTGCGGCTCCGGACATGATTTAGTGAACGAAGACGTAAAAATGTCTCTTTTGATCGTAAAGTTTGCAGACCCCTGTCTTGGGACATAAACTTAAAAGAAATGAGTCTTACTGTAAATTGTGTTCTCATCAACATTCATCTCTTGTGTATTTACTGTTTGTTCAGGAGGAAAGTGTTCCTTCAGCACCTGATCGCCTCTTCAAGATTGTCCTGGTGGGAAACTCAAGTGTTGGAAAGACCTCACTCCTTCAAAGATTCTGTGATGGCCGCTTCCACCCTGGTACTTCAGCCACTGTTGGTATGTGTTTATGTAGCACATTGTTGCTGCAGTTTATTTTGCTTTGCTTTCCTTTATGAGGTCACAGGTCCAAAAGTCCTAGTCATGAGGGTGACCTAAGGATTGATACTGTACAAAGTTTCTTGTATATAATCATATCAGTTTTACTATAAGTGGACTTATGCACAATTAAATCCCTATTGATTGTAAATAAATAAAAAGGCTGCTTGCATTTACATGTTTTTTAATCATCTTTGCACACAGGTATAGACTACAGTGTAAAAACAATAACGGTGGACAGCAGCAAGGTGGCGCTGCAGATGTGGGATACAGCAGGGCAGGAGCGGTGAGATTTAAAACCAACAAAACAAAAGATCAGGTGTAAAAACTCACCTGTGGCGTTACTGGTCTCATAAACTTCACCGTCACATTGTTTCTACAAGAGAACGACATTTTAAGCGCAGAGCATTGCTTCTTTACTCTGCTTCCTCTCTATTCTTCCTGCAGGTATCGAAGCATCACCAAGCAGTTTTTTCGTAAAGCTGACGGTGTGATTGTGATGTATGAAATAACTTCTCAGGAGAGTTTCACAGCCGTCAGACAGTGGCTGACAAGTGTCAAGGTAACACAGTGATATTCTCTGCTGGAGGCACTTGTAGACCACGCTTTTTGTTCCTTTACAGTTTTTACTCATTCAAATACAGCAACAATATTTGTTCCCAGAAATAAGGCAGATATTACTCACTTTTTTAAGTACTTCACAAAAAACAGTTTTCTTAGGTGTGAGTTAATTTTTTTTTTTTTAATGTACAGGAAAGTGCAGGTGAGGACTTACCCATCATGCTCTTGGGAAACAAAACGGACAAAGAGCTGGAGAGACAAGTTCAGAAGGAAGTGGGTGAAAAACTAGCCAAGGTTTGTATATTGTTCAGCTCACCAGTCTGTACAGTGCAGTGTTGGTTTCTAAAAATGAAATGAACTATTTACATGACCTATGTATGAAATATTAAACAAAAATGTTTTAGTTTCTGAATTGTACTCGTTTGTTGACTGGAAGGAACCACATGGACTAACATGGTGCCTTCTCCCTTAAAGAGTTGTACAGTTTCCTGATGCATGCTCAATAATCCAGGTAGAAAAATCTAAAAAAGTTAAATCTGGTCCTCTGGACATTTATGCCAATGTCCAGAGGACCAGATTTAACTTTTTTAGAGTTTTACAGTTTGTTCTGTTGCCAGCATGTTTTAAAAATGTTATTTATGTTTTTAAAGAACTGCCACATGACCTTCTATGAATGCAGTGCATGCTCTGGATACAATGTAATGGAGTCTATGGCATCTATGGCTAGGTGAGTAAAGGTGCTTTTAAAATTAAAAACAAAATTTGTGCAGAAACAAAAAAAAAAGAAGCAATTTTTACTCGGAAATTTAACTTTGACCTTCTTTTCCCATTCATAGAGCTTCTTTTTTGCAATCTGATCTTCTTGCTTGCTGCTCATTTTTATTTCCCCGTGTACTTGTACCTAAATGATTTTTAGATAAAAATAAACTTTTTTTTTTATTATTATTTTTGCACCTTGCTTATGAATTTAGCAGCATAACAAATAATTCAACATTACAACTAATCACACACTGGTGTGCAATAGTAACAATTGCAAAGCACAACAATCAGAAGATGACTGACACAAAGCAATACTGACAACCTCATGATGTCTTAAGATGTTTTATTGTTTTAATGATTCTGTTTTTTAGAATTCTGAAAGAGCAAGAAGACCGAGAGAAGGAGAAGACAGTCGAGTTGGTCAGTAACCCCTCAAAGAAGGGATCCTGCTGCTAAAAACACTTTTAATACAATAACATTGTAACACTACCCAATGTGATCGTGTGAGCACACGTACCTGTGAGAACACATTACTATGACTGTCAGCACAACTGTTTCAGCCTCTGACTTTAATCCCAATATCTGAATAAAATCATCTAACAGATATTATTTGCACTTTTCTAAACATTGTGGCAATATGAAGGCATCAAATTATGAATATACGAGGAACCAGCAATGTACAAAATTAACCACGGAGTCGATTTATTCATTTTTACTCATTTTTTGTTAATATCTACTGTAGTTCCTTCACTCAAACTTGAACAGTTATTACAGCTATTTATTCAGCCTTTAAAGACCATTTATCTATTAATTTGTCATTTTACGTGTGATGTTAAAATATTGTGACGTTTGCTAGTTTGGAAATGTCTTTTGCTTTCTGTACATATTCATGTTGACAAAATAAAAGCATTACTCTAATTCGGCGCTTTAAACCTCGTATTGAATGGTATACCTAATGTAACGTTTCTCTTGATCAGTTTTAATTGGCATGCTAATTAAATTTGTCGATTCATGTGACTTTTGTTACCTAGGAAAGTAAAAACCTGCACCAATGTGCAGAAGTACTTTTTAATGACCATTATTGTGTAGGAGAGGCTGGCCTTAGGTATTTAAAGTGAGTGGGTTTTTTTTGTCCATCCTTCGTTGTAGCTGGTACCTTTTGGGTATAGCAGAATTTAAACCTGAACAATTAACCAAATCCTCAGCTGTGTTGTCGTTTTTATTAGCAGCTTAAAGACTAGAATACATGTTTTGTCACTTTAATCCATCCGGATGCCAAGTATTTTATGAATTTATCCAACCTTTTCTGTAATCTGTTTATGAATGTTGATTGGAACTAGTTAAAAGAAAAATAAACGCAAATGTTTTGTTCTTTTCTGCCACTAATGATGCTTCACTACTGCTTAGATTTTCACTTGACTGTCTTTTTGTGAATTGAAATAAAAGTATTGTGTATATATTGTATTATGCGTCAAACAGGTGTTTCTTGTACAGTGAAATAAACCACATGTAGCCGTTTGAGTTTTATGCTTGAATATCAGTTTATCACTTTCTCATTATGACTAAATGTTCACTATTATATATTTTTAATGCAAAACCAGTGCTAAATGGGCAACAAACTTTCCAAATTGTCTAAATGTCTGACGTGATGCATGGAAACATTGGTTTGTTGCTGAGCAGTTAAATGCCTTTTGAAAAATTATACAATTTAAGGGTGCTAAATGAATTCACACATGACTACATAAATCATGTATAAATACATGAGATCAAGAAATATTAAGTGTGTGCATTCAAAAGATCATACTTACTGGAATCATGTTTGCCATTTCCATCAGCTGGACTTATTTATTTATTGCTGTTTGATTAGTTCTGTAACGATTCTTGAAAGCAATGGACATGTAGCAATATCCTAGTAGATTTGTCCTTTGTGTTTTTAAAGCAAAGAGTAAACGAACATTCACCTTTTTCTTTTAAAAACTAAATGAACATATTTACTTTATGTCTTTGACCTTATAGTGAACAATAAATGAAAAACCTGTTTGAGTTCAGCACACTGCAGTACCCATGGATCTCACATTACTGTGGTTACTGTTCATTTAACCTGTAAATATTTTACATGAAATTGATATTATTTCAATCTGATCTATTTTTTTTTTTACAGTAAACGGATGTCAATTTTTCACTTATCTTTCTTTTTCCTATTAGTTTCACCTAAATGCAAGAAGCTGACACCTTATGTTCTGTAAATGCAGATTAAACATAGACACTTTTAATTAAATCTAATTTTAAACTCAATTAAAATTCATTTGAATGAAACGATAGCAGAAAGTTAAAGCAGAAAAGGAACAGTGGGCACTTGATAAGGCTTACTGGATGTATGTTATTAACCTGTAAACATCACAGCTCATACTGAAACACAACACAGATGTTCCAGCTGTGCAACAGTCTCAGCCTCAGTTTTATATACTGCACACTCACAAAATTACACCCCCAAAAAACTATTGCTAATAAAAAGACCTTGCCTCTCGGGTTGTACATTATCCTTTTCTGTGTTCATTTCCTGTTAGATTCCCACTATTTCCAAAGTCTCACCTGTAAAACAACTTCAGTTCATGTTATACAGTACATAATATGGCCTAATCATATCTAAATGAAGTTCATTTTGCTATTTGTGCTATGAATATGATCACTGCCCACTCCAAATGTGGAAAAAAATAAATCCTTTAAAGTAGACGTGTCCAAAGTCTGGCCCGGGGGCCATTTGCGGCCCGTGTTCTAATTTCCACTGGTCCGCAGCCTCTGTCATGAAATCAATATGTGGTTCACCAGCACCTACTGTATAAAATACATGCATACTATTTTATATTTCACTAGAAGATGGTAGTGTGATCCTTTCCTGCCCATTTCTAAAAAAAAAAGCAACTGTAAAAACAAAAAAGTTGAGAGGGGGGAAAGGCGATTGTGCCGTTTTCCTCTCGTCTCCGTGAACCCTGATGATCCAGACCACCTGCAGGAGCTTATTGAGCTGCTGTGTGACATCGAGCGTCACAGTCGAAACCAGCAGCTTCCTCTGGTCAACTTTCACCGCCAGCTGGATAAAGGCAGCTTCCAAGAGATTCAAACGTTTGCTAAAAAAATGTTGAGCTCGACGTACTTGTGTGAGAAAACGTTCTCCGTTGTGAACATCAACGAGAACCGTGTGAGGATGAGACTCACCTGCGTGACGTCTCGAGCATCAGAACCAGTTTCTGAGCCAGACCTGGCCCATTTACTGCTGGCCAGATCCCAGCATCACCCTTCACATCCGTGCAGGCATGTTATTGGTTTAGTCTTCTGAGGTGAATAAATTCAAACATTTCAGTGAATTAATTTTTTTGTGATGATCTAAACTACAGATTTGAACACACACCGAGTCTTCAGTCTGTGCATATTTAGTTTGTTTTTCAATTGACAATCAAACCGAGTCTTGTAAACCCAACATGCTAACTATTAAAATCAAATTTGGTCCGGCAGCCCATTTATCCATATCTTATTTGAAAAGTTTACAGTGAGCATTAATATGTATGTGAATCGTGTTGAGTGAATAATATGTAATGACTTAACCTCATTATATTTATCGGTACCACTTTACAATAAGACTCCCCTTATAAATGGCTAATAAATAGTTTATAGATCTGTTAATCCCTCTATAAACCTTTATAAAGCATTAATAACTGCTTGTTATTCATTAATTAAGGGTGACAGAGTCAAAACTGACGAGTTTCTTGCCAAATAGTGAGCCCAGTCGGATCACCTACTTATTCTAGAGTTGTTATATTAAACATATAAAACTAAGTTACTACCTTACGCATTTGTAAACCTATTTTTTTAGCATATAATTTTAATTGTAGAGACTTATAATGCAATGATAAAGTACAAAATAATATGCTAAAGAAATAGGTTTACAAATGCTTATTGTGCTTACAAGGTAGTAACTTAGTCTGAAATGTTTAATTTAACAACTCTAGATGAAATATATAGATGAACAGATCTGGCTCACTATTTTGCAATAAACTAATCAGTTTTGTCTCTGTCACCCTTAATGAATACATAATAAGCAGTTAATAATTATTTAGAAAGTGTTTATAGAGGAATTAATAACGTATCAATGTACTATTTATTCCATCTACGGGGAGCCTTATTGTAAAGTGGTACTGATTTATCTACCTGCATTACTGAGCATATATCAGGATAACTATGTAACGGTATAAATATTTAAACTTCCCAAAATATTTTTTTTTCTCACTTTTTATTTTCATTTTATGTGGTCTTCAATTATGGAAGACAGAGTGTGTAGTAAAAACTGGTTTACATTTATGCGTTCTGTGTGAAGGAATGAAAACCATTTGCAATAAAAGTGTCGTAAAATAGTTCATTTACATTTAACGTTAATGGTTCAAAGAATGTCAGGCTGAAAGGCCGGCCCCCTCACATATTTACCTTAAATCTGGCCTTTTGTTGCAAAAGGTTTGGACACTCCTGCTTTAAAGGATAGCTATTATATCATGAACTATGTTCATTTTTCTATATTGTTTAAATTATTGTGAAACCTAGTGCAGATTAAAACATGGTTAACTCACCTAACACATGTCAATCATCAGGAACATTCATGTTTTGGACCAGTGTTACATTCAGAGTGGGTTAACAGTCTTGAAGAGTGACATCATCTGCAGTGAAGTGACAGTATTGATTGAATCTATAGGACCACCTCTAGTCTTTGGCCTGATTTCTGTTTGTTTTGCTTTTGACCCTCTCACATCCTTCTGAGTCTCTGTCCCCCTCGCTGTGCTCAGGACTCAGACTCGGTGGGAGGTCGCCGTCCAACTTAACGCATCTTGTAGTCGTGAGATATCGCCGCTTCACACAGCTGCCCTTTGAAATCCAGTTCAAAAGTAAAGTCCAAGTCACGCTTGGGTGCAGCGAGTGGAGAAAAAGAAAGATGGTTTTCAGTTAAATTGAGACGACGATTGATCAAACACACAGCAGAGAGTGAGAAAACCAGCGAGCGAGCAATCAGCTGCTTCATTTTGACCTGACAGCAGGATGCTGCGCAAGATAAACAGAGCGCTTGTGTCAGACAACAAGAGAAAGCAAACGCTGCTCCTCCATCCCTTAAGGCGGAGAGGAGGACACTGACAAGGTCAACAATAGAATCTGTTTGTTCAACTCTCTGCAGTGCAGCTGTCTGTTTGGCCGCTGCACAACTCAGAGAAGAAAACAATCTGCTGTGGGCAGATTGTGCAGGGGATAAATCATGGATGGATGACAAATAATCTAATAGGAGCAGTAATTATTCTAGATGAAATACTCACAATATTTTTCTCGTTGGGCTTCATTGCAATGGTGCCAATGATTTCTTCTCCTCTTCGCACCGTCAAGTATTCCTCCAGGTAAAACACAGTCTGCTTCCAGTGGGTGTAAGGAGCATCTGGAGCTGGTATCACACAAAATCATCCACATTCACCACAGTCAATCTTTTATAGACACTTCTGGAACAAGTATAGATTGTAATTGTGGTCTTTTTTCCCCCTCAAATTCTCTGGTGCATATTTAATATGAAAGTCTCACTAACATGCTATTTCACTTGTCCTAATGTTGAACAGTGATGTTTTTTTTAAGTCTCATTTATGTGGCCATTTCTGAACACCATTATTGTTTTTACTGACTGGGAACCAACCAGTTAACTTTCATTACAAAATTAGCAATAGATGCTGTTTTTAACATAAAATAACATAACAAAGCTTTCAACCTCCGATGTGTCACAGGTAAGATAGCAGTTTGTCAACTCCTTGCAGGTCTTTCAACATTATTTTAATACCACTCAGCAGGGGCGATTCTAGAATCTGACTTTTAGGGGGCTCGGGCCCCAGTGCTGACAATGGTTCTTAGCTTGAGCAAGCCTGTGGCCACTAGCATCAGAAGCATTTGTAATAATAATAATTTATTCAATTTGTACTGCACTTTACATTTTGCAATCTCAAAGTGCTACAATATAAAATATCTAAAAATAATAAAACATGGACTTAAAAAGGACTAAAAAATTAAAACTAAAAACAGCAGGATTAAAACTACCTTTCAACACTAGGGGTTGAATGAGTATATAATTTTTAAACTCGACATTATCATAATAAAACCCGAGTAGAACTCGAGTATTTGATGACGTCATAGATATCAAGATACAAAAATAAATAAATAAATAAAACCGCAAAAAAAGTAATAATTTACAAAAAAAGACCAACAAAACATTGGGAGCGTACATTATGCTTCTACCATTTATCATACTGCAAATAAGTCACAGGAAAACTAAACTGTTAGTTATTATTATTAAACTGCAAACGTGAAGAAACGTGCAGCACGTCAAAAACGAAACTTAACGTGTGTGTGTGTGTGTGTGTGTGTGTGTGTGTGGGGGGGGGGG